TGCCCGCAGCCCTGGCCCGTCTACAGCCCCCTTTTCTGCCCCTCCCCCGCCTCCTCGTAGCCGCGGGGATCCAGCGATCGGTCCGAGGGGTTACAAACGCGTAGCGCTCCACAGTTTGCGAGCAGTGGTTCGCCTTGGCACTCGCGGGGCGCTTGCGCGGCTGCTCCACGAAGGGGCCTGGCGCATGTGAAGTGCCCCGGGAAGCGAGGGAAGGTCGAGGGCTGAGCATCTGCGCGCGGAGTCCTTGGCCGCGCGGGGTGGTTCCCAGGGCTTCCCTTCCTACCTACGTGACCTTGGGAGCGTATTTAGCGCTTCCTTGCCTTAGGCTTTTCATCTGTAAAGTGGGGAAAATAGTCTCTACCCGCACCAGGGTGTTGGCAGAAATAAGTGAGATCCTGGACGGGTCCAGGTACTAAAAGCATCGTGCATAGTTGACGCTTCGTGGTGGCTGAGTTATGATGGGTATCCTACTTTTCTGCTTGCAAATACTGTAGCTACGTAAACATCCCCGGGAAGTTAAATTTACTGAGTTTCTCCTAAGTGCCAAAGCCAGTCCTCCTCTGAGACTATGTGAGGACTCTTTCCAGGGCAGGAGAAAATCACAGCCCCAGAAATTTTACAAAGAACCTACCCTGAGCGCCGGGAAGTCGAGTGATGCACCGCACTTTTGGATACCTGGTAGAGAGAAAGCCTTCGTATAAATTGTTATCGCTTTTGGTATACAATAATAGTTTTTGTTGTTGTTTGTTTGTTTTTTATTAAGTTGATCCCTACAGCTTCTAGTTACTTTATGTAGCCTATTGAATTTAATTGCCACAAGACCCATCCCAGGTAGAGATTACTATCTCTCATTTTAGAGGTAAAAAAGCTGGCCGAGGGAGGCAAAGTAGCATGCCCAAGTTCACGACGCCAAGAAGAGGTGAATAAAATGTTTTGAAAATGCAGCCAGCATTGGAGCAAATGCACAGATGGGGCTTTCCATAAAGGGCTAGAGTTGGGTTGAGGTTCCACCCTTTTCCAAGGAGAAGTGAGACCCTTTCCCGATTTGTCTCAATCTCAGCAGAGAGCTGGGGAGGAAGCTGGCAGAGCTCAAGGCTAGCAGGTTGGTTGTGACTCTGGGCATCTCTCCTATTTATGGCCAGAGCTTGGGCACTCTGGTTTTGAGCACCAGTTATTTTTTTTTATCTCTATTATTTTTCTATTTCTGGCTTCATAATTTTCTCTCTCACCTAAGTATCAGGATCCCAGAGTAGTGAGGGGAGCCTAGCTTTTCCTCTTCTAGAGAAGTTCATTAATATACAGGAGTTCCAGTGGTATTAACTGATTTTTTTTTTCTTTTAATTTCCCTGGAATGAGCCTGTGTGCCCCTAAGCTGACAAATATTAGAAATGAGTTTTAAGGAACAGTTATAAAACATTGGCTGGGTCCAGCCCAACTAGAAGCTGAACCCTTTTGTGCACTTTGGCAGCTGGGGGCTAAACGAATTTCAGGTTTGTTTCCAAAATATGTAGCCTCCTACATCTAGAAGGCACAGTACTTAATCTGGATTTACCTGTACTGTATTTGAGATACATATCAAGCTAGCTATCATCAGGTATGACTCAAGGGGAAAATGCATACATCTCCAGATAGCTTTCATAGTTGTTGGTTAAAAAAAGAAAAGAAAAACTTTCTCTAAGCTTTCAGTTTTTTTGTTTTTTGTTTTTTAAATATGTGTTCCTTTTGGTGGGAGAAAGAACCAGAGGTTTTAGAAGATTATGCTTAGAAGTTCTTTATTTTTTAAATTTTTTCAGCATCATTTCTAATCAAACCGAATTAACTAGTCAGTACACTGTTTTTTATCTTCTAAGATTCAGATACAGTAGTACTGTTTCTGGTTCTCCAGGGCCAGAGAAGTATCACTCCAGGCAAAGGTTGGGGGTGAAGGAAACTGCATCAGAGGGATCTGGGAAGAGTTTAAGGCTCTGTAGGTCTAGGGGTCAAGTTTCTAAGACTTTTGGATTGGTAGGCAGTCTTCAAGCCTTGGTCATTTAAATAATTAAAAACAATGTTCCTTCCTTCCAATACTCTAGGAACTGTTTAGCCAGCATGTTCTGTATACGAGGTTCTGAGTTGAGTGACTTCCTATTTACCTCATCACTGGTGGGATAATCGTTCAGATGTAGGAAAAACAGCTCCAGCCTGGAAAGAGTCATTTGAAGCAATCGGTCTTGGTCCAGCGGCCTGAGGAGCTGCTGAGAGATTTGAGGCCTGGGCGCTCTTGAAGCTCACTCTCCCCTTCCTCTAACTGAGACAGTCACCACTGAGGCTTTGGGATGTAATTACTGATGATACAATTCGAAGTAGGGTGGGGATATCTATGCTTTAAAAAGAAGAAGAAGAAGAAGAAGAAGAAGAAGAAGAAGAAGAAGAAGAAGAAGAAGAAGAAGAAGAAGAAGAAGAAGAAGAAGAAGAAGAAGAAGAAGAAGAAGAAGAAGAAGAAGAAGGAGAAGAAGAAGCAGCAGCAGCACAGGTGCAATGACTAAAAACGTGCTTCCCTAAAAGGTAGGAAGGCCTGGGATGTGCAAACTTGGAACCCAGTATTTCTGGGATTTGCAAGGGTGAGAGAGGAACTAGATATTGTCCACGACTTTTCCTCCTTCCCCATCATCCTTCAAGGCAAACAGTGGCATCTAAACACATATGACAAACATAGGCTCAGACAAACTCACGAACACACATTTGTACTCAGTCTTAAGAAAAAGGTTGGATCTGGATATTGCCCAGAGAGAAGATTCAGAGAACAAGAAAACACAGAGATTTCAAGTTTCTAAAATTGCACTGGTTTTGTTTTCGAGTGGAAAAGATGGGGACTACTGGTTTGAATTCTCCAGTCTGTTTGAGAAAGAGCAGCCCCTTACCACCTCTCCGACTCCCTCCGGCCCCCCTTTCTGGCAGAACAAGTGATAATAGTAATAGCGGACGCGGCGAGCGCTTGCTAATGGCGAGCTACTCTTCTAAGCACCATGCCTGTATTATTTCTTTTAGCAGGGATTCTGGTCAGTGTTTTTCAGTGTTGACTACTAGAGTGTAACGTTGGTCCAGTTTGGGCGAGGTAGGAGCTTCATAAATGTCTCTGCAATGCCAGTTGCAGATTTTAAAATCATTTGGCGGTGGTGGGGGGGAGTGGGATGGGAGCAGGGTACCTTTTAAAGACGGGTCAAAAGAAAGAAGAAATGGGAATCAGAGAACTTCCTCTTTAAATAATCGGCCTTAATCACGCCTTGGATTCTTCAGTTTTTGGCGTGATTATAACCCTTGAGGGATCTCCTAATAACAACTCTGCTGACTGCTCCTGTAATTAACTCCTAATTTATTTCAAACAGGAAAAAAAAAAAAAAAGCTCCAGCCTCTTCCGGAAGAGCCAATCGAAGGCGAGCGTCTGTGACGTCAGCGCCAGGGCCGGCGCGGATTGGCCGAGCCGAGTCTCCCACTTCCCCTTGGAGGAAAGGCTCGGCTCCCAGCGCGCCCCTCCCGTCTCCCCCCCAAAAAGTTTGAGTCGCCGCAGCCGGGTCGCCAGCGGAGTCGCGCGCCGGGAGCTACGTAGGGCAGAGAAGTCATGGCTTCTCCGTCCAAAGGCAATGACCTGTTTTCGTCCGATGAAGAGGGCCCGGCGATGGTGGCCGGGCCGGGCCCGGGGCCTGGGGGCGCCGAGGGGGGAGCCGAAGAGCGCCGCGTCAAGGTCTCCAGCCTGCCCTTCAGCGTGGAGGCGCTCATGTCGGACAAGAAGCCGCTCAAGGAGGCGTCCCCTTTGCCGGCCGAAAGCGCCTCGGCCGGGGCCACCCTGCGGCCGCTGCTGCTGCCCGGACACGGCGCCCGGGAAGCGCACAGCCCCGGGCCGCTGGTCAAGCCCTTCGAGACCGCCTCGGTCAAGTCGGAAAATTCAGAAGACGGAGCGGCGTGGATGCAGGAACCCGGTAGATATTCTCCGCCGCCAAGTGAGTGCGCGCCGGGGTCGGGACAAGGGGGAGGCGGGTGCGTGGGGTGCTGGAGGGAGCGGGGACGGGTGTTCCCGGATGGGGGTACAGAGACCCCTCTGCAAACACTATTCGCCCCGGAAAGCGAGCCTAGCAATTCCTGACCCTTTGATGTCTGGGGAGTTCAGCGCGCCGTCTATATCCGAGACATCCTCCGGGTAATAGCCGCGCACTGCGTGTCTGGGATCCCCTCGCTGTAGAAAGTGTTCACCACAAGAGCAGACTCACTGGTCTTTGAAGAGCGAACTCCAGCTGCGTTTGCGGGGTCGCTCGGTTGCAGCCCTCAGCCTTGCGCTCCGGCCACTTGTTTTTGTTTCGCTGACAACTGGGGTCTCTGGCGAGTGCGTAATGAGCATTCGCATACGTGCCAGGTACGAAGCAGTTGTCCATTTCTCCATTCAAAACTCACAACTCTGCAAGATGTACCCCCATTTTAAAGAACTTACTGGGGTGTACAGACATGGAGTAGAAATTATCTTTTTCGGGACCCGCGGATCGAATTCGGCTGGGTCACAAGAAGGGATGGTGGCAGAGAGTGATGCGGAAAGGAAATGCCTCCCTGTCGACCCCGCAGCCAGCACCTCGCTGCCGAGGTTCTGAGTTTCGCCGGGAGCGGACTGGGGCCAGAAGCGTGCGGGCTCTGTTTGGCTCACAGTAAAATAATTAACAGCATTCCAACAGGGCTTGAGAGTTTATACAAAGTGATGCCCATTAGCTCACCAGATCAGGATCCTCGCTAGAATCCCTAAGTGTAGGCAGAGGCACGGGACGTGGCCATCCCGTTTTTCAGACGTGTACGCTGAGGCTTTTAAGAGGACTGGGCTTACTTATCTTAGGTCACCAACAACCACTGAATTGGGCACAGGGACCAGGTGTCCAAACTGCCCCTCTCTCTGTTCAGTGCCCTGGCCATCTTTGATCCTTCTCTGCAGAGAGACCCTGATAGAAGTCCACACCTGCACCCCGCTATCTGCGATGATTTCTAGTCCAGCTTCAGTATCCATTTAGAGGCCCTGGGTCTTTTTGCAATTTGGAGAAGTCATTCCTTTTTTTTTTTTTTTTTTTCCCCTTAACCTGTAAGATTTCTCCAGACCCTCACTTCCCTCTTTTTCCCTCTCCCTCTTCCCCTAACTTTAGGAAGGGGGGGAGGGTGCTGTGGAGGGACTTTCTCCAAAGCTGGGTGGGTGAGAACCTTACTTCATTTCCATTATTCAGGCCTCAAGACTCAAGGTGTACAGTATTTTGTGAACAAAACAAGGCCATATACTCAAGGCATCAGTGGCTGTCCCCTCTGGCAGTCTGTCTCCACCCCGTTTGAAACTCTGAAAGACTCAGAGGGAGCAGAGATTAAGGACTCAAAGAATTTAAACTCAAGTTTGTACAGTGCTTTACAGCACTTTTCACCATATTATCTTATCTGATCTCTGTATGGCAGCAGCTCACCTCTTGTTAACAGATGAGGATGTTTCAGCAAAGTTCAGAGGAACCACGGTGTGGGCCTAACTGAAAAAGCTTGAGAACCATTTAATGATCACCTACCAGGTGGCAGACAGGGCTCAGGGCACTCATAAAATTGAGTACTCTGAACCATACTGAGAGAAAAAAATGAGTATTATTTATCCATTTTATTGACAGTGAAATAGAGGTTCAGAAGCAGTAAGAGAATTGATTCTCTTAAAAAATATTGTATGCCTGTATATCTTAGGCATGGGGCAATGCCTGACAACACATTGAGGATTTAGGCCTTAAATGGAGTGGTGTCCAGAAGGCAGAAATCCAGGCACCTTAGGCCTCAGGGTCTGGGAAGGCAATTAATTCCCCACTAGTCCTGTAAACATCCCTGCCTTGTGTTCAAGCTTCCCGACTCTCTGTGAGACAACCTTGGCCCCTGGATATGATCTTTATATGAGAAAAACTGGAGATTCTAAAAAAGAATTTTATTTTAAAAACATGAAGTTTTGTCGGTGTTTTGGGCCTGAAGGTGGCAGCGGGAAACACTGTGGTCGGAGCAGTGGGCTCAGGGAGAGCCAAGTGACAGGGCCTGGGGCGGGAGGGAGCCACCCGCCCAGGCCTGGTTTTGTTATTCGGAGGAAGTTGGATAAATGCTGTTTTGCCTTGTATAATTGCATCCTTCCTCTGGCTGTTTAAAATGGGGCGGGGGGTGGGGACTGATGCGCTGGGAGGAAGCCTCATAGCTTTATGGCTTTGATACACATGTGCAATCCTGGTTGCCTGGATTTTATAATTCAAATACGGCCCCAAAGAACCATTGAAGTTACACTGCCCAAACGCATAGTTGCTTCAAAAACCCTATGTAGAGCACTGTATGTACTAGGAGCTTGGTATCTGAGCTGAGCTACCTGGGTCCTTCTGAGAGCCAGACCAGGTTTGGGAATGGTGAGAATTTTGCAGATCTCCTGAGAGTCTCCAACAGTTTTGTTAGTTAACTTGTAAATTAAGAAGAAGGTTCCCCTGTTCGCTGGCTTACTTAGGGATTAGCATATGTAAACGTCTAGACTTTTTGGTAGTTTTTTACCCATCCTTCTTCCAGCTTTCTGCTCTTTGATGGATTACAGAACCCACTGCCTCTTTTTTAATCAGTAAAGTGATGGTTAATAATGTGACATTAGGACAAATCTATCTCTTGGAAATGGAGGCTGGGTTGGGACTTGTGCTGTGTCACCCTCAAGTATGAAGTGTAAACTCTTTCTTGGGCCACCAAAGTAACTAAACAAGAAATGTGACATTCTCCCATGAGTACACTGGAGTTAGTACTGTGGCTACATTTGGAAAATTAGCATAGCTCATAAAAGCCAAGTGCAGAAAATTAATTGTTTAGCATTCTATCCCCACAGCTCTACACTCCTCCCCCAGCCCTTGAGGAAAACAAGCCCAAAGTTAGTTGATGCTGTGGAATCACAAGGATGTCCTAGTCCTATGACTTGCAGTAATTGAATCCATTTAAAATGCAGAGTCTGGATGCTGTTGGCATAAGTTTATTTTGCTTGTTATTCTCCACTTCTGAATTTCAGTGACAAACTAATCATTTACATATTTGCCCTAAACCATAGAATGGGTAGAGGAGATGACTAAAATGTCATCGCGTGCTCTCAATTCAGAGGCAACATGATTTCCCCTGACATTTACATTTACGGGCGAGCTAATTTTTCCCTCCATTTTGGTAAAGTTTATATTACAGAAGCACCCAGCCAAGAAACTTATCCTTTATCTCACATCCAGATCTGTAAAATGATGTTCGGGTTTTATAATCTGTAGACTGGATGGAATGACAGTTGTGTGGTTGTTTATTGCATGGGGCTTCCCCCAAATCCAAAGATGCTATTAATTTACCACAGACCTTATCTGCACAATTATCCTTCATAAATATGCTGACGCAATCCAACTTTTCCTGGTTCAGAGAGGGGACCAAGGGAAACAGCAAACCCAGTTTCTAAGATCCCTTTCATTTTTCTTCTCATATGTGATTATTTCGGCATCCAAGAACGGTAAGGATAATCATGACCCCAGCCTCCCATTTTAAAGATGAGAGAAATTAAGCTCAGAAGAGATGGAGTTTTACTTCTGAGAACACTCCGCTCATGACCCCAGCCTCCCATTTTAAAGATGAGAGAAATTAAGCTCAGAAGAGATGGAGTTTTATTTCTGAGAACACTCGGAGAAATTAAGCTCAGAAGAGATGGAGTTTTACTTCTGAGAACACTCCGCTCCCTTGACTTACGAGGGGTCTGTTCATGTTTGTTCTGTTTCCATTATCTCTGATGCTGTTTGTTTTCCATATAGAAAGTTCATTACACCATTAAATTCTCAGACTTTTTGTAAAAAAGACTCATTTAAAAAAATAATAATAACACAACTTATCCATTTAAATATGGTCCTTCTGCACTCGTCTCTTCCCCCAAAACCACACATGGTTTTGATGTGCGCGCTTGCGCTTGCTAAGGGCTTTCAGTTACGAGGGAGGCCTGCAGAGACATACCTGGAGAGAATAGCGCTTTCTTTTGCTAATTCACTCCCCTCTCTGTTCTCTAGGACATATGAGCCCTACCACCTGTACTCTGAGGAAACACAAGACCAATCGGAAGCCGCGCACACCCTTTACCACGTCCCAGCTCCTCGCTCTGGAGCGCAAGTTCCGCCAGAAACAGTACCTCTCCATTGCGGAGCGTGCAGAGTTCTCCAGCTCTCTGAACCTCACAGAGACCCAGGTCAAAATCTGGTTCCAGAACCGAAGGGCCAAGGCGAAAAGACTGCAAGAGGCAGAACTGGAAAAGCTGAAAATGGCTGCAAAACCTATGCTGCCCTCTGGCTTCAGTCTCCCTTTCCCAATCAACTCGCCCCTGCAAGCAGCATCCATATACGGAGCATCCTACCCTTTCCATAGACCTGTGCTTCCCATCCCGCCCGTTGGACTCTATGCGACACCAGTCGGATACGGCATGTACCACCTATCCTAGGGAAGAACAGCTCAATAGACTTCATGATGGATGTTTGTTTAAAAGGGTCCCCATCCCTCCAAGAAGGCAGTACCAACACAGTACTCCTGCTGTGCAAACCTTGCATGCACCACCCTAAGCCCTAAGTGACTAGGCCAACAGGGCCACAGGACATAGTTCGAATTTGTTCTTTATGTGGGAGGCACCAAACCCTGTTTTCTTGGTGTAATCTTCCAGATGCCCCCTTCTCCTTTCACAAAGATTGGCTCTGGCAATTTTATATATAAATATATATATATATATATATATATATAATAAAGTATAATACATTTTTATACAGCAGATGTAAACATTCAAATTATTTTGAAAGGCAAAATTTATATACATACATATACTTTTTTTCTATATATCACCTTCCTAGAAGAGACTGTTTAAGTCTATTTGTTGTATTTTCCTAAAGGGGGAACCAAATTATTAGCAAATTTTGCTAAAATTTGGTGATTTTGACGGGGTGAATGACCTTTGCTTATGGAAAATAAATATTAGAATTAGACACAATGTGCATAGAGAATAGATATGGAGAGATTCTTCAAAGTGAAGGGGACATACCACATTTTTGCATTTTTACATGCATTACACAAACCTCATTAGATACAATTATATTTGGCCCTATTTCCTCTCCCTGCCACACACACACTTAAAATTTTACCTTTTTTTGGGTAAAATCAATAACGGGGATGAGAAGAATCCTGAGAATGCCTCTGGGTGAGGTAGAAAATGGGAATACTCTTAATTCCTATCAAGGCCGTTGCTTAACTCCATTTCAGATAATTGGAGAGTAAAAAGTTAAAGCATGTTGGGAAGACCTCTGATGGTTTCTGTGAAATACTAGGTATGTCAATCCCTCACACATTGCACAGGTGATATGGGAGGGGGGGTTAGTAATTTTCCACTTTGAAAAAATGAATATCTTTTAACCATTACCTATATGCTAAATATTCTTGAACAATTAATAGATCCAGAAAGAAAAAATTAAGCCTTTTCTGTACCTATTGTATGTGCTAAACTTCTTAGAAAAAATTATATACTTTTTAACATGTTGGAGGCAGAGGGTAAAGCCATGTTTTGATTTGCTAAAAATGGTGTTGTCAAACAGCCCATTTAGCTCCCTGGTATTTCACCTCTTCCCCTGCCCCCAGTATACTTTTATCCCTTTGAAAGGGTGTCTTGTACAATTTTATATATTTTATTGAAGAGTTATTTCTTATCTCTTATTCTGAATTAAATTAAACATTTGTTTTATTGCAGTAAAGTTTGTCCAAACAATTATTTTAAGAGGTGCTCTATGTTCTTAGCTGGTCTTAGCTCAAAAATGTCACCCACATGTGTGTTGGGGGCTATTTTTTATGATTAAGAGTTGTGGCCAGATTCAGCCCTGGGGGGGGGGGGGGGGGGGTCAACTGAAAAATACTGAAATACTTTGAAGTGTTTTCTCTGGCAGCTTGTGTTACTCATGGAAAAGAGGTGGAATTGCTTTTAGTAGTTTTTCAAACTACAGTGAAAGATGGGTAGTTAGTAGATGATCAAGGGAAAATCTTGAACTTGAAATCTCCCAGCTACCAAAACAACAAACGTAAAGCTGAGAACAAGAGGCCTGTAGCTCTTTGTAAATGGAGATGGTGTCTAGATGCTTCCACTGGGTTAGGGGGTTGGATGCCTGCTGCCCTTTTGGGAGTGTGTCAAATAACATTCCCTTTACCACTTCTTCCCCTCCCAAGGAGATGGAACCCCCAACAAACACTTCTGGGTTTGGAGGGGGAATTGGTTCATTCAAGTCTCCTTTGCTACCTCCCAGTGGAAACTGGAAACAGGACAGCCCTCAGACTTGGGTTTAGAGTTATCACCATTGAAATAAAATGGTGATGAGTCGGGGAGACAGAAGGATCTTAAACTCAGCTTTCTGTTGAACAAATAAATCAGAAGTGGCTACTAATACCTTTCTGAGGTCAGTTTTCGGGTGAAAGGTTCCAGTGGCCCTGGGAACAGGCAGCAGGGAAGCGAGAACTTGCTGCGGAGACCGCGCGGTGGGCGGATCGGCACCTGACACTCACTAGGACTGGCGCTTTCGTCCCTCGTTTACGTTGTCCCGGCACCCACTTCGGAGGTGATCGCGGGAAACTCCATTTTTCCGTGGGACGGGTCTCCTAGGGGTCGGGCTGCTTGTCCCAGAGGTTTCAGGGCCACGGCACGGAGCGTGATCCAAACCGAGGGGTCTGCTCGAAGTTGGTGGCCGATTTCTTACCGCGCGGTCTCTCCGCTCGGAGCTGAGCCGCTGGAGCGTCTCAAACCTACCCAAATGTGCGCCTCTGCCATCCGCTGGGCCTCTCCGGTCCGAACTTCTAATCCCTGCCCAGAATCCAGAGAGGTTCATTTAGAGGATGCATTTTCCAAAGGCCAAAAGCTCTTCCCGGTTTCGTCATCAGCCGCCGAGTTGGGTCCCTAATTAGCCTGTCCACCGAGCTTCCTTCCCGGCGCCGCTAGGACCCCAGGGCCCCAGGCGATCTCAACCTGGGTGGGGGATCTGGAGATACGAGCTCCGAATTAATGCTTAGCTCGCCCCTGGGAGGAGAGGGTCGCAATCCTGAATGCAATTCCGAGAATCGGGGCTGCGTGTTGGATGGCTGGTGGGGTAAACTGGAACGAGTCTGGGCGACTGCTCACCGCCACCATCGAACCAGATCCCGAAGAAAACTGCGGCTGGGAGAGGGGAAAAAGAGTTGCTCAGGCTCAGACAAACGCACTGCTGGGTGGATGGGGTTACCGAGTTTAGATCCAGGTCAGGGGTTCGCAGGGCCAGCCCGGGAGCCTCGCTCTGGGGCTCCCTCCAACTCTTCTGTCTCGGCTCGGATTTGGCCATCACCAACGTCCGGGCCTCGGTTAGGCTTGGTCGGGCACGCGGGACGTTTCAGAGGCCAGACTGACAACCTCCGGAGGCAGAAGTACCCTGATTTACCAAGGACCTGTGCAGCCGCGCATTGGAAGCTAAAGCCGAAGATGCCAGTGTGCAGGCTTTGGACATCTTTGCATTGTCTGACAGAAGCGTGGCACACAAATTTACTGACTTTCAGTACTCTCAATGCTTTCGTCCAAACTTTCCAGAGAGACAGCTCTGCTCTTGGGAAAGAGGAGAAGAAAGCAGGGGAAATCACACTTAACGGAGTCCTGCTAAACGCGCACTAGGCATTTTCTTGCACATGTTCTCATGTAGTTAACGCCGACCTGTCGGGGAGTTATTATTGATGTCACTTATAGTCGAGGAAACTGAGGCTCAGAGAGGTGGCTCAGTAAGGTCACAGAGCTGGTAGGCAGCAGCAGGGGAATCCAGGCCTAAGAGTGGGCAGAGAAGGTAAGTGGTCACATGGTTGGCAAAGGCAGGCCCCGCAGAAGCTATCTCAGAAATGATGCAGGGGCCCGGGGAGCTCTGCATATTCCCCAACCCTGAGAACCCAGGTCTGAAGTCTCTTGGCTCACCTTCCCCATCCCTCATTGCTGTGAAGGGCTTCTCCATCACACTGGATCTGAGGCTCAGCTCAGGCCCCCACCCTTTCTCCCAGCCCTGCCTTGGCGATGCGGGGGCAGGGCCACAAGAGGTAGGCAGCGAAGGCCTGGCTGAGAGCGGACTCTGGAGAAATGTCTGCCTGACCCGACTGAAAAGAGGATCCCTGCCTTTGAGCAGAACCTTGTCTGACCGAATGAAAACTCCCACGGCCATTCTTTGCTATAAAAGCCGCTCATTTGCCACGGGTTGGAGAGGCCATTCCCCCACCCCCACTCCCTCTCCACTGCTGGGTTTGAAATAAGCATAAACTTCATTTATAAAATAACCCACGTCACACACACACACCCTCCCCAAAATCACAGGGCCCACTTGGTGAAGTTGATTGTGCCGGTTTCCCCCTTCCATGTTAAGCACACACAGAAATTTTTTGTTCTGGATTGGTGATGCTGCAGGCCCCTTTGATGAAATAAAGTGGTCACTGCAATGAGGAAAAGCCTCCTGTCAACTCCTGGACCCTATACCCCCTCTCCCACCCCAGCTACCCTCTTACCTCCTCCCGCCTATGAACTCAATAAAAAGCAGTAAAATTACTTTTCAAAACAGCCCGCTTCAAAGCAGAACAGAGTACCAGGCTGCGGGAATCCTGAATCCTGCCCTGATAAGGTTCATAATAATCAAATCCAAACTCCAGCCACCTCCTTTGACTTTTTCCAACCTCCTCCGGACCCCTATGCATTTGTTGATGAAAACACTTTGATGTCCTGAGTCTTCCAAACAATTATTATTATAATTTTAAACAACCTAGTATTTTCCATTACTAACGGCTCAGGCTTTGAAGTTACACCTCATAATTTCCTAAATTAAATAAATCATTTTAAGTTTGCACTGGGAGGCTTTTAATAGCAGAGAAAGGAATATCATTATCTTATTGAGACCCAATTGTGGTGGCTCCAGTTTGGCTGTAGCTAGGGGCAAAGTAGGCTCACTCTAACAGACATACTTTATTAACCTCCCATAACTCTTGAAAGAACATTTTTATATTTTCTTTGATTTCCCCCCTCCCTATCTTGTTTTAAAGCTGTCCCAACCTTTAATTAGTGCCTAATATGAAAAGCATTATTTTTTTAATGCTATGTAATTTACCAGCGGCAACAGGCCAACTTAACAATTGTTTATTAGACTTGGTTTTTCACACAGGGCAAAGAATGCCGCTCCAAACCCAACTTTTCATGGGTGGTTGCACTAATTAATACAGTGTCTGAGGCTCCTAGGGTTTTTTTTAATATTGAAGCCTATGGGGGCGGAAGGGGGTTTTAGAAGTCCAGCTCCTGCCGACGTCCTCTCTGATTTCTTTCATGCTGTTTTGATCCTGTCTGTGGAGTCAGCACAGACAGAAACTATTCCCTGGCTCCGGAGTCTCTGGGATCCCGAGGCAACACCCGGGAACCGCCAGCATCTCCACTTGTGATTTATGGCTCCTGGGGCCCAGGTTTGGGGTGTAGGCAGCCCACTGCTCACTGCAGGCTTGGGTGTGGGGGGCACCCTTCATTCAGCCTAGAAAGGGAAGGAGCTGGCCTGATGCTTGCGTTGGGAAGGAGTCCGGCTTTGGGGGGCAAATGACAGGTCTTCCAGGCACCAGGCGGCACTTGGCTCTGGGCATAGAATTGCTGAGACTGAGGCTGGGACTGGAGTCGGGGTAGGGGGGAAAGCCAAGGAGGGACGCAGGCCAGCTTCCTTCCTGTCTTTGCTTTCCTCTTACTTCTTTCTCCTCCATTTTCCTCCTTCTTTTGTCTCTCATTTCCCTTTCTGGGCTTTTGTTTCTTCCTCTGCTCGTCCCCCCCCCCCTTTTTTTTTCTTCCTTGTCTGCTCTTTTTTTTATTACCCTTTCCCCTCCTTTCATTCTTTTTCATGTCTGTCCCATTTTGCCTATCTTGTTTTTTCCTCTGTCTTCTTACTGTCCACAGTTTCTTTTCATGTTCTCACTTTTAAGTTCTCCCCGCCCCGCTCTGCTCTTTCTTTGCCTGCCACGTTGCTCCTTCACTGCGTCTCTCAATTTTTTTTTTTATTTTTCCGTTTTTAAATATATTCTCATTACCACGTCTCCTATGTTCCCCCTTCTCGTTCTCTTTTTCAGTCTTTCTTCCCCCGGTTCCAGCGATTTCGTGCGCAATTCCGGGAGCCCAGCTCGGGCGCGCCGGCGCCGCTGGTCCGGGAGCGCCGCACCTCGCGCTGCGCCTCCACGCAGGGGGCTCGCGCTCACCATGTCCCTTGCGGCGCCCTTCCCGCTCGGGCTGCACCTGGCAAGCGGGTAAGGGAGATACCCTTGCGCAGGAAGGGGACACATCACCCGGTTTCCTCATGGAATCGCGGGCGAGAAGGGCAGCGTCCCGGCGCGCAGCCCCTTTCGCCCCGCCCGCCGCCGGCCGCCCGTTTGATGTCGCCGGCCCGGCAGGAATGCGGCCGGGTTATCAATCACCCAGCTGGATCCCGAAGGTCTCGGCCTAATCACATTTAATTGCTCGTGGAGGCCCACTCTCGCCCCGGGCCGACCGCCGCGCTCAATTACTCTCCAAATACCTGCCATCAATAAATGCGCGCTGACACCGGCCCGGCCCGCTCCACCGGCCCAGGAGATCGCAGCCGACTAGGCGCCCTCATCCCCGCCCCCCGCCTCCCATCATTAAACTTACACCTCGACACCCAGAGGAGCAAGCCAAGCAGATAATAACAGCCCCCCCCCTCCCCTTTTATTGAGCGCTCCTAAGTACCA